CTCAGGACATGGAATCAAATGAACATCAAGAGCTACAGATTTGCAGTTTATTGAGTAACAACGGCAGCACAGCTGTCACCACTGGATGTTAATTGAGGGGGAGGCAGGAAATCAGAGGGTCCCACAGGGCACCTGTTCACCTGCCCTGCCTACCCCTAAACCAGAGGTCATGGGAGTTGGAGCCAAGGTCCTTTCTTTTCTTCACTCTGTGAGTTTACCACCACCAGTTCCATCCTTAAGCCCACCTTCCATTTGGACCAGCCATTGATGCCTGTGCCCTTCCTTTTTTGTGGGGTAGAGATGGGGGTAGGAGCAGGGCCAAGAAAGAGAAGGCGCTAAGATGGGAGTGTTACTGAATGTCTAGCAAAGGTCAATGGAACACAAAATTCCCTGTGTTAAGAGTGTACACTTGAGCCAAGTTGCCCTTCAGGGTGTCCTAGTAACACCCACTGAGACACCGTGGAGTTCAAGCACCACTCCCACAGCTGTGTCCCTCTGTAAGGGTATATTAAAAGCTCATAAAAGGAGTGCTTGCCCTGCCTTTGTGGAGTTCAGTCGAGAGGATGGGATTGCATGATTTAGATTTGAGATCATGAAGTCAGAGCAGATTAAGAATTCCTTTAGGGACTGTGCCTAAAGATGCCCACATTGTGGAGTGGGGGAGACGGTGGTGGCAGTAGAAGTATGACACTAGCACATCTTTGTTCTTGTTGAGGACAGGAAGTGGACTGATTCCAGGATGTGGGGGATGGCACTGAGGGGTGCATGGACCCCCTGCCTCCTTTATCCAAACGTCTTCATCACCTAGCCTAGTTCCTGAGTCTGCTTTGGAAGGAAGGAACTGGAAATCTTGAACTCAGCTCACTTTGGCCAGCTAGTGTCCCTCAGTCTCTGTCCTGAGAGCCTGGGGCTCAGGAAGGGACTTGGCTAGAACAGTTTAGTGCTGTAACCTGGCTAGCTGGCAGGTGGGGAAAAGCAGATATCAGAATATCCTAGGACAACACACCCACACACGT